GATTGGCTGGTTAAGCGGCGAGTTGGGAGAAACCGCAGGTCACTGGAGTCGAAGTAGTCGGTAGCTGGCGGTAAAACACGATGCAATTGGGAAAAAATTCTAAAATTCCGACAAAAATCACTAAAAACACTTGAAAAAGGAAAAAAATCGTAAAAAATGGATTACGATCGTAAAAACAAACGCATTTTCGTAAAAATTACGAAAAATTCGTACAAGTTGGCAGGTATGTCTTAATAAAAGATGACAAAACAGGTCCTAAAGAAGCCGAATGGTATTTTGTTCGATTTTTAATTGAACACAATTCCAAAGCAATGTTTCCGGATTCTGTCACAGCAAAAAAATTTCACTGCGGTCATACCACATCTGCCGCTATTGTGAAAACGCTTGCAGAAAGTACTGTTGCCGATATTACAAAATCAGTGTGCAAACTGTATCCATTGGTTATAACATATTACACTAAAGAAAAGGAAGTGATAATTACGTCATTGATTTCTATTTTAGAGTACACGAATGATACCGGAGAAAGTATTTTTAATTGTATAAATGATAATTTTAAAAGCAAAAGTTTAGAATGGAAAAATTGCTTATCATTTTCTTCAGATAATGCTAGTAATATTATTGGAAAGGTTAAAGGTGTAGCATCATTTATCAAATGCGTCAACCAAGTATAATCATTCGAGTTGTCATCCCCTCTGCATATAGCTGCAAAAGCTACCGAAAAATTCATTGCTCAGAAATCGAAATGTTATAGATACATATATTTTTTTGGAAAAAGTTCGAAACGGAGCATAGCTTCAAAGTTCTCAACAAATTTTGGGACAGAATGCAAATCTCATAAAATTTGAAATATGCAGTACGAGATGTTGTCTCTTTTAGAATCTATAACAAGGATTTTAAAAGTGAGATGCTGTGATAAATTTTTTTGGAGATCAACCAGATAACAGTGAGAATGCAGGAAAGAGATTGCAGAACATTAAAAAAAATGTTAGTCACCTACCACCAAATTGTACTTGTTATTTTTGAAAAATACTTTGCCTTTGTTTATAACAGTACATACTAATTTGCAACAACAAGCTCCTTATATACATAAATTCAGAAGAGAACTTGTTGAACTTTTAATGAATTTATTTGTTAGATTCACAAAACCATTAGTAATTTCTAAAGAAAATGAAGATTTTACTCTAACATCTCTTTCATTTCGAAAGTAAACAAAAGGAAAATGAAAATTTAGTGATTGGTGCAGAAACAAGACTATATTTAAAATGAATGAAAGTGAAGTAAAATCATTTTTCAATTCTCTGCAAGCTTTTTTTGTAACTGCATGTTCATATATAATAGATAAATTTCCACTAAGTGATCCATTTCTAAAACATGCTGAAGTTGCTGACATCAACTTGAGGACTGACGTTTCATTTTCTTCTTTTCTGTACTTGAATACTTTTCCATCCATTATTGATGAAAAATATCTTAAGTGGAAATTGAATTTTCCATGCATCAAGTAGATGATTTGAAAGAAATTGTGGATTTGCATATTGATATAGCATTGGGAGAAATTGCTAAATTAAAAAATATGAATGGGTGTATTAAATACAAAGTATTGCCTACTGTAATGCTTGCTTTCTTAATAATACCTCATTCAAATGCAGCTTGCACAGAATTTTTCTATGTTAAAAAAAATCAGATTGAATTCCGACCAAATTTAGGTCTAAAACTCTCGAAGCAGCTTTGATTGAAAAATAAGTATCAAGCAATGAAGAACTGTGTTATAAAAAACATCTCAAATCAGAACTTAAGCTTGCTAAGCATGCCACATATAAATCTTGCATTCGTAAATTATAAGTATTTTTTAAATACTGATATGTATTACCCTTGGTTATTTAAAATCTTATTTCCCTGCAGAAATCAAATCCAGAATAAAGATGTATGATTTATGGATTCTGATTAGTATGATTTAAAATAATTTCTTTTTTCATATAATAGTAAATTTAGTGATATACATGTGTGAGAAGTTAAATGAAAATTTCTAATTAAATGTGCATATACAAGTGCATATAATTTTTAATCATTCAGTTCTATATGTATATGGATTTTAAATGTAACAAAATTGATTACAATTATTAATTAAAATTAATGAATGGTTACTTACAAAATGCATTACACGCGCATTTTCAAAGTTGTGAAAATGTCGTTTGCGTGTTGACTACTGACAAGTTCTGCTGCAGGTTGGAGTCTATGCGTATAGGTATGATTTTAGTAATTCGCATGTTTAATTTATTTCTATTAATACATCTTAAGAATTAATATATTAACTTCAAAAATTGAGTTCATTATATTAAAATGCTGATTTTATATAAATTTTTTTGTAAAATTAGGATTAACTGCTGAAACGTGCGAGCCGGTGATGAAGTTCAATTTCTGGGGGGTCTGTGACTTTGTTCTCCCCACGTTGGTCTTCAAGGAGTTAAAGACAGCTTTGCATTAATTAATGCTTAATATTTTTATTTACAGAAGAGCCAATCAATTTTCATCCTTTAAATTAAGCAATGGTTTTTGTTTTTTTACACCATTACAAAGAAATTTATTATTTTGCATGTATCTAAACACAGTTTTTAATATTTTAGCAACATGTTGATATTTAAAATAAAGAGGGAAAAAAATAGCAAAACACTTATCAAGACATAAATGAAACTACATGACATTTAGTTTTTTCTTTTTATTCTGTTTACATAACTTTAGCAAGTTTATTTCCCTTTCTTTGCTTTTATTTTCCTCTGATAAAATTCCAACTCTTTGCCTTCTAAAATATAACCATCACATCGCCCACACTGTCCAGGTCTAGATGATATACATGCTGAAATTAAAGAGAAAAATAAGAAACTTACAAAAAAAAAAAAAAAAAAAAACTCACATATGAGAACATGATTTAGCAGTAGTATTAAAATGAAAAATTGAACATTAGAAAGAAATGTTGAAGCCACACACAATGTTCCTACACATTATAAGATGGTATTCTTTAAATAATAATCTTAGAAATATTTCCATCTGAAAAATTTCTTTAAATAAAATGCAGAATTTAAATCAAAGATGATGGCCCTACTATCATTCAAAAAATTTCCACTTTAAAATAATACCATTCAATTTCAAATTCTCCATCATCTACTAATTATCTTTGAAACATTTATTAGAAATCAAAACAATGAACATTTTGACAGCATCAGAAAGATAATGAATGATAAATGTTACTGTTAAAATTTCAATAGCAGAAATAAATCAAATTTTACAGGCTTGCAATAAACTGACACCCAAAAACTACTTAAAAATGCCACTATACTTCTCCTGTTTTGGCAGTTTTATGCTTCCTGCATTTTATTTAGATTACAGTGATTATAATTAAATGTGACTGCAATCTTATAAAACAAGATGATTTTTTGACTTTTACTTTGAAAATGCATACTTGTTATAATTTTCTGAACATTGATTCCAGTAATAATACTAGTCGCTTTCAACATTGATATACATCAAGACACAATAACACGCCAAATAAATACTAATTCAGAAGTCAATACATGTCAGAGAAATTCTAGTTTGTGGTACAGCAATGCATGATTTGCTTGATGTCTTGGAAACAAATGCAGGTGATGATGAATAAGGCAAACTTGTATAACAGAAATAAAAAATACTAAACCAATTGTGTAACTCCTTGATCGAATGCATTCAAATTGGCATTTAATAAACAGGTACATACCATATCATACTTCCCAAGCTACAACACTAAAAAATCAAAATTTTCTCAGGGAGAAAAAGCTTTTCTAATAAAAATATACACAAAGCAAATATACTTTATAATAATGAATTAACTGTATTTTTCTGTTTTGCCAGCGCTAATCTTGCCAAGTATACTTTATTATTGGCGACAACATACAGTATACACATAAAAATATTTTAATGAATATTAGTTTATTTTTTTATTTAAGACAGAAACATTTTAATATGGTTTAAATTTAGTAAAATGACAATAAATTTGTAAAAAGACATTAATTCTTTTCTACATTTTCACCCCAAGGTTGTGTTCAGACGGCGGCGTAGTCATAAGGGCATAAAATACGGGAACTGTGTTCACACTTGCGAGAACGGGGTGTAAGTCATGGCCAATAAGAGAAGCTACATTTGCACGTGCGTGCATGTGCCTACAACTTTCCCGTGCTGTTCTCCTGCTCGATTGATTTCCTGCGTTTGCTCTGCTTGTTTTGTGACAGCGAAATCTTGTAGAACGCCACTTCTCTCTGATTGGTTGACACTTATCCCAAACTCGCCGTAAAGTTGAAAACTTTGAACCCTAAACAAGATTTCGTGACATTGCACAGACCGGTTGCCTTGGCAAACGGAGCTCGGTTTAACCTTTACGCCTCCGCCTGAACGAAGCTTAATTGACTTAATTACTGCGAATGGTCTAAGGGTATAAAATTTAACTATCTTTTGTAAAAAGATGTAATTGTATGCCAGTATTGAAAGAAACAATCGATCTGATAAGAAACTGCTACGACTTGGTTTGGAAATGAAGGGTAAAAGGTTACCAGCAAAGATATTCCGTTTGGCATCAGTTGTGTCTTTATTGGCGGCTTTAACATTTGCACCGGCAAAGCGGAAAAGTATCGAATTAACTTTAGATAGCAATGAATTACTGTTTGAAAGTTCAGTCACTAATTCTCAAGTACAAATAATACAAAAATACCTCCATGTGAAAAACATTATTATTATTTAAATGTTTTTTTAATAGAAAAATACATTTTTCATATGCTCATAAGCTCTGCAAGGTATACAGATGCTTCCCTGGCCACCATACTCTCTTGACCTGTCACAAATCGAACATGTGTGGGATGTGGTTTGACGCTATTTGCAGACTCTGCCCCTGCCTCATTCAGAAGACAAACTGTGGCAAATGGTTGAAAGGGAATGGAGAGCCATCCCCCAGGACACAATCTGCACTCTTATTGAATCTATGCCTAGATGTGTTTCATCTTGCATTGCTGCCGCAGTGATCCTACATCCTACTGAGGCGACGCCGTTCTCGCTCTGTATTCTGACTATCATTTTGAAATAAAGATCACTTATTGCTGCTTGCTGTCTGCCTTTTTTCCAAATTTCATCACTTTCTGACCACTCCTTCTTGTTGCATTTTCAATGTCGAGCAGTGTATATACAAATAAAAATCTACAGAAATCAAAACTAAGCAAACAACGCACAATGAAAGCAAGAGGAAAAAAGGGTCTGCTCTCGCTGAAAATCAAATAGCTAAGTGAAAAAAAACCAAAAACAGAAAAGAATAAAAATAAACCTGCACTCTCAGTCTTTCCCATGACAGGCACTACCAGTACAGTGAGTTCAGTTCGAACACACCATACACTGAAGGCTTCACTATACGTAATATTAAGATAAAAATTAAAAGCAATACAGAATAGGCAGATTAGCACATGAACAACAAAATTATATAAAGATTTTTTCATTGATATTCTTTATATTTAAAAAAAATCAAAACATTTCTTTGAAAACAGAATAATCTCAATGTTTTATGATTTGCTGGTGTGGTGCTGCCATGTATTACTCATGAAAGAGATTAAAAGTAACCATTAATATAGTTTTATTGTGATAGTTATCAATTATTTTCAGTGTCTAAAGAGGGAATATTTTTGGTGTGTTCACATTGAACACACTGCACCAGAAAGGGTAAGCCTTTTCTTACCTTTCCCAAACCCACTTTATATCTACAGTACTGAAATCGTTTCCCCTATAATTTGAACATTATTTAAGCAAACTTTATAACTAGAAATCTAAAAGAAAGCATGCATCCTTATTTTTAACATTTTACATATACTGATCTTTATCAAAAACTATTAGCTATAAGTATTTTTCTTGTATTAAATAAAAATATTCAAAATACATCTATAACCAACAAACTGATAGTGTCAAATTAATACTGACTTCCACAGAGGCTTAACTAAGCAAACGGATAAGTAAACTTTTGCTCAGTAACCAGAATGCTTACTAAACATAAGAATACTCTTCCAAGAATTACTGTCAATAACTTACTTTAAAAATTTAACCAAGCATCAGTCAGAAATCTTTTCACCACGAAAATTCAGCCGAAAGATGGTGATTTAGTTACATCATTTGCTTGATCAGCCCACAGTGAAATTACTCAAAATATCAAAGATTACTTTATTCTTTTGTTAAAATATCATGTTTTAACCAGGGCTGTGGAGTCAGAGTTGGGCAGATTTTGGGGTAAAAGGAGTCAGAGCTGATATTTTTTTTAGTGATTAAACTGATTCATTTAGTTACTTCATTTAGTGACAAATCTCACTAGTAAATTTAGGTAAGCAGCAAGAACTCCCAAAATTGATGCCATTCTTCGGAAACGAACAACTTTTGAAGTACATATTTGATGATAAAGAGGTTGTTTGAATTAAGAACTTTTTTAGAAGATGTGTATAACCTATCGATAATGTTTCGCTAACAGAAAGACTGTGGACTGATCTTTCTGAATTGGAAACTCTTCTTTTATACCCTATATAGACACAAAAAAGCTGCAATCTGAAGCACTGACAGGAGGTGAGAATGGGATGGAGGGTTTATTGCAGAAGGAATCATTTCTTCAACGAAGCTAGACAATGAGATCTTGCTGGGTTGAATATATGGAGATCTGAAACACCAAATTTTCTTGGATGATGAACAAATTTAAAAAGCAAAGAAAGTCATCTATGAACTTTCATTGATAATGAAATTATTCTCAGAACAATTGGAGAATTCGAATCAAGACAGTCACACTGCAGACATTACAATTGAGTCTCTATCATCCTTTTCCAGTGATGAATTAGATTTTGAGAAATATTTTTGAATAATATTCAAAAGGCTAAGGCAAAGCAAATGAAAATAAAGAAACAAGAGCCTTTAGATGATATAAAAATGAAAAAATACAAACAAAATTTCTACACGACTCTTGAAGACACAGATAAATATGATTGGGCTTGCAAGACACCTCTTTTAGAACTTATTAAAATCTATTCTGAAAAGTTAAAAGAAGTAGCCCCAACAGTAATAGCTCTTCCTCCTACTCAAGTTACTTTCAAAATTTTTTAACCAAGCATCAGTCAAAGATTTATTCACCATAAAAATTCAGATGAAAGATGGTGATTTAGTTACATCACTTGCTTGATCTCGTCACACCCAAGCATACAGCTACATCTTGCTGGTACTATGTTCCATTCTGTATATAATGCCTGAAATGAGGTTGCTCTGTTTTTGGACCCATGGTTTCTGGGCCAGAACTGAAGAAAAACTACCAAACAATAGGCAGAAAAACAGATTTGGGTGGTGATTACTACTCGAATAAGCCATACAATCTAGAGAAAATGTGGTTGAATTAAAGATCTTGACGAACTGGTGTCATAGCCTGGCCTGTTTTCGAAGACAATTTAGAGAAATGGACAATAGAGCAGACAGAAAGTGGATTATCAGTATCAAGTTAGAATTTGCCTTCAAGCAAAGGTAATTGCTTGACAAATGGACATTACAAATATTTGTTACAGGTTTGTTGGTGTTTTAGGTTCATGAAGTGAAAGAAATTATTTGCCAGGACCAAAACAGTTGGACAAAAAGCTTCCCGTGTAATGGCTTGAAAACAATACAGCTTTTTGGGAAATTTAACAAAATTTGAATGGGGGCAAATAATTTATGAATGATGTGATGATGAAGGGGATGAAGTGTGTCACTTTCAACTGTTCTCCGAGTAGAATTTTGAAGAAAGAAGGGGGGGGAAACTATTTCAGCGTTAACATCTAAGAAGAAAGACTTATTTTACTTGTGTTTTGGATAATTTATATGGATGAAGTGTCTGTCACTTTTGACTGTCCTCCAAGTAGAATTTTGGGGGAGAAAAAAAAAAAAAAAAAAAAAAAAAAAAAAAAAAAAAAAAAAAAAAACACGCCACTATTTCAGCGTTAACATCTAAGAAGGAAGACTTATTTTACTTGTGTTTTGGGTGCCGCCAGTGGAGAAAAGTTACCCCTTTGATAATTTAAAAAGAAAAACAATTCTGAAGGGAAACTTCCCTAGAAGGAGCTATTAATTGCTCGAACAAAAAAGAGATGGATGTGTGAAGAAGTGATGTTTTGGCTGAAAGAAATTTATCGAAAAAGGAAAGGTGCTTTCTTTCAAACCTCGAAGACTCATTGTTCTGGATTCAGTGCAATCTCATTTAGCAGATACATTAAGAACTGAAGCAAAAAACTTAGCACTGATGTCTCACTGATATCAGGTGGGCTTACAAAAATTTTACAGCCGCTCAACAGAATTTTCAAGCATGAACGCCAGGGCGAATTATCTACCCGAAATTACGGTACTTGGGAACTTTCATTAGATAGTTTGTGCACTTTCAGCAAATTAAAACAAGAAAAAATAGACTCATTTACACAAAACAAAGAAATGAATTACATACCTAAAATTCGTCCAGACATAAATTGATCTTCTAACATAGGATCTACTTTAGCTAATTTTTGCCTCTCTTTATATTTTTTCTCAGTTTTCTTGCTACGCTTCTTGTTTAAAATAGCTTCTTCCTGCTCAGTCTATAAATATAAATTTACTGTTAAAAAACTACATTTATATCATCACTGACAAAATGCCCAAATATTTATTGTGTAGTCTTCAAAAAATACATTACAATATTTCCATTGAAAAATCTGCACACACTAAACAGTTACACAAATTAATGCTCTTAATCTTGAACAAATCAACTACTTTGAACTTTATTCAACCACATGTTAAAAAAATATTTTGATGATTATTAAAAAAAGGTTATAAATTCATGCAAAATATTTTTAAGCAATTCTGCACAGTAACTATTGACATACCATGTACACAATAGATGCTACACTCATGTCCAAAATTATGTTTACATGCATAAATTCACGGATTTCTCAGACTATGACTTATAATTTAATGAATTTTCGTGGAATCATACATAACATGATGACACATAAATGCAAAAGAAAAAATTGAAGATCACCTCATATGATATAAAATTGTAGCATGAAACAATAAAAATGGTAATAAAGTGTGACAAAGAGAGTTAGAAAAAAAGGAATGATTCAGAAAAAGAATTAAGTCTTTACGAATTTAATATGGAATATGATCTCCCCTGACTTGTACACACATATCACAACGTGTTTTAAGGCTGGAAATAACGTTGTTAACCACAGTTTGGGGAATTAATCTCCACTCTTCCAGCAATGCCGTCTTCAGAGCATTTACATCTCTAGGAGGAGGATGTATACGTGCAATTGCTCTTCCAAGGTAGTCCCATAAGTTCTCTATCGGGTTAAGGTCAGGAGAGTTTGGTGGCCAAGTATTCGCTTAATGTCTTCACTTTCAAGGAATTCATCAACGAGGTTTGCTCGATGTTGACGGGCATTATCATCCATAAATAAAAAGTCAGGTCCATATGCACCCCTGAAAAGCCTTACATAACGATCTAAGACCTCATCTCGATATATCTGGCCTGTCACAGATCCGCTGCTGAACATGTGTAGGGGTGTACGTCCATCGATCATCATTCCACCCCATACCATCACACCTCCACTACCAAAACGGTCACGTTCCACAATGTTCGAGGGATCATTTCGTGTTCCTGACTCCCTCCACATGTAAACACGTTTAGAATCACCAGTTAAACTAAACCGCGACTCATCAGTAAAGAGAACATGGGATCATTGATGTTCAGTCCAGTTTTGATGTTCTTTACACCAATTAAAGCGATCCCTCTTTTTCTGTGAAGAAAATAAAACACATACCCTTGGCTTTCTGGCATAAAGGCCTTTTTCATTAAGCCTTCTGTATATTGTTTGCCGTGATGCAACAGTTCCAGTGGCGGCTGCAAGCTCTGAACTTAACTGGCGAGCAGTAGCCTTTCTGTTACGACGGGCAGTTAATGCCAGATACCGATCTTCAGAAGCAGTTGCCATTCGTTTCCGACCTCGTCCAGGCCTCCTTACAACACTTCCATCATTTTGAAACTGTTTCCATAGCTTAGAGACTGTCTGTCTTGAAATATTCAGACATGTGGCTGTTTCCATGATTGACTGCTCTGCTTCTAAACGGCCGATAATTCGCCACTTTACAGATTCTTCCAAATGATACTTCGAAGCCATAACAAACTGCTTTGAGTCCCTACACACTGAAATCAAACGCTATGTTGCAGAAATTCACTCAAATATTCATTTTGCGCAAAGCGCTTGATTCACCCTTGGATGACGTAATGCCTAGATTTGCATATCACAAAACGTTTGATTACTTTTGATTGGATAATGCTAATTAGGCTTGGTTTTCACACATTCCCTGCAAATACGGATCACATTCATTCGATATTTCATTGAATATCATCATTTTTGGGTATGTAAAGATAATTTTGGACATGAGTGTATTTCGAATCAATAGTTCGAGCACTTAAAAGAAATCCGCTACTAGTAAAGATCCAGTTATTCACTTACCCACAAAATGTGATGTGAACAGAGATTTATTTGTAAGGTCTCTAGTTCAAGTATTATGAGTGCTGGCCCCTGGATGAGACAACTTAAGAATCTTTATCAAGGTCAATCATCAAATCACTGACAACCTTGTATTCATCACTATTAAGAAGATTTATCATTTCCAGACCAGTCAGGGTTCATAGCCACATTTTAGTTAAAAAAATAAGCACCTGTCTAATTACATCATACACAACTGCATAACCTTAACAATTAGACTTGTAATTTAAAATATGAGAAATGAAGTACTTATTAACCCTTTGCAGCATGGTGGGTCAATATATGTCCCACCTAATTAATATTTATTTTCTCAGTTAGCAATTTCCGTTAGAAATTTTCTAATCTTTTAAAAATAATCTATTTTAGTTATTATTTTTCTCAGTAGATGTTACTACTATACCAGAGCTTAAGTTTATAAGCAAAAAATATTCAAAATAGGATCACAAGAGTGATATCCCTGTATCTCGCATTTTTCAATATTTTAAAAATTTTGGTATACAATTTATGATACGTATACTTTTTAATATTCAAAAGTACTTTATTTTCAAAAATCTTAATTGTATTTAATATATTATAACATTAATTTTGCAGTTGAAATAAGTGGGTTAAAATTTGTCCCACCACACACTTGAATTTCCGCTCAATAGATGGCAGCACTCACGATTATTTTTTCTTTTCTTTTTTGTATCTACTTTTTTCGTGATTGCGCGCACTTTTACATCCGTTGTATGCTCTGATGTGCTAAAATGTCTAGAAAAAAATTAACAACTCAGGAAGCTTTGGATCTTTTTGCTGAATTGCCATCCGATTGCGACTCAAATGCTTCAGATGTCAGTTCTGATTCAGATGAAATTGAAATACAGGAGAGAATAACTGAGGTTGAAGTTATTGCTGAAGAAGAAAGGGGAGTAGTTATAATTTGTTTCGCTTTTTAAAGACACAGACCCATCTATGCATGTGGCACTGTAAATATGGATCGGAAGTATCTACCCAAAAATTTAAAAGACAAATTTACATCAAGAGAATATAGACTTTTCAGTTAGCGATGATTCAATTTATTGCATAAAATGGAAGGATAAAAGATCCGTTTCTATCCTGTCTTCCTTGGAAAAGGCAACTGAAATGAAAGAAATTAATAGAAAGGAATGAGATGGGAAAGACAAAAAAAAAAAGTACTGTGCCCAAACAGCATTATTTCATACAATAAGAATATGGGATATGTCGACTGATTGATCAACTGAAAGGACTATATGAAATAGACCGCAAAAGCAAGAAATGGTGGCACATTTTTTTTTTTTTTTTTTTGACTTTTTAGATGCGAGTATAGTAAACACATTTATTCAAGTTTGTTTGCAAACCTGATCATGATGTAAAAACAATGAAAGATTTTCTTCTCTCAGTTACAGAAGGTCTAATGGCACTTGCAGGCAAGAAAGAGCTGAAAAGAAAACTGAAATCCCCAGTTCAAATAAAAACTAAAAACCCGTTCGTACAACCAGAAAAGATACTAAAAAATGTAAGTAAAACGCCAAAGAGAATGAGCAGGAGAAGATGTGCATATTGCAGCATATCGAAAGAAGAACGACGAACATTTTGGATGTGTGAAACATGTGAAGTGCCTCTATGCTTACGAAAGAATGAAACAACATTTTTTTCAAAGTTTCATGAAAAATGACTTTTTCAATTTTAGTCATATATAAATGTTTTTGAATCAAGTGCCAATTTTAATATTTTATTTAGTATCATATGTACGAGTATCAAATTTTAATCTTAAAATAATATTCAAGAAAATATTTCCTTTTGTTCCTAAAATTTAAAAATATTAAATATATACTATATGCAAAATGTGCATATGCAAAATTTTACAAGTCATGCATATATGCAATAAGTACAAAATGCATTTTAGTGTGTTTATTATGAATATTTTAGAATGCATTTTAGTGTGTTTATTATGAATATTTTAGAATGCACGCTTTATTTTGTTTATTCATTCCACATATATTTTTTTTCCTGCTATACACCAATATGCTATAAGACATGTGCTAGTTGCATGGTGGGACAAACGGTATCCCACCTTCTACCGTAAAAAATAAAAGCGCAGAATTTTTTTCAAGCCTTAAAGGCACTTAAGTAAGTCCATCTGACTTATTCTAAGGCATTTTTTTAAGATTAAAATATATTTTAAATATGTGTGTCGCAAAGGGTTAAGAGAGAATAAGCATTACCTCAACCATGGAAAATAATTACTTTTTTTTTTTAATTTTAAATAATAGTTCAATTTACAGAACTAGTTTACAATGAGAGAAAAAAAACTATGAAGAACTAAACTATATTACAAGATTTAATGATGAAATTTCAGTTCAAAATAGAGAAAATAAATAATAAGGCATATTTATTATATTCGCTTGGAACCTAATAATAAATCAAATCTATTTTTCCACTCAATATTGATATTTAAATAATTTAAATCTGAATATTTTCTAAATTTTCATTGTATATCAGTTTTCTCTTAACAGATATTGCAAGCAAAGTAATTTAAGTAAAAAAGAGGAACATTTATGATATCAGAAGACAGAAATTTTCTTCATGCAGTCATCTTTTAACAGTAAAAGCTTAACTAACCTGCATACTTGAAAACTGGCGAATATTCGGACAGTCGAGCATAACTTGAAGGAGCGGAAGGGGGGGGAATGACTGTAGCCGCTCTTTAGATTTTTCCGCTAAATAAATGCTTTTGACATTTCAATATGTGCATCATATAAAAATAAACCAACGAAACTAAAAAATATTCTGCTTAGCAAGCACAGTAAAACTCTTTTAAGTGTTCATAAAACAAATCTCGGACTGAACATCAAAATTAATTATCTCTGCAAAATATCGTTATTGCGCAATACGTGCGCCGTAATTCTTCCCTACGTGATATTACGCAATCGGAATCAACAACTGCTGGTATTGGGAGAATAACGAACTAAATAACTGGGGAGTTTTTCATTCTAATTTTCAACAGACGGCGTTAAATTTTCGGAATAGAATCATTCTTCGCTTGGGTTGGTAGACTGCAGAACTTTTAGTCCTATTCAATCCAGATTAGAAAGTGAACAAAAGGGGAAAAAAAGGTCCGTTGCTTGTTTTGCATCGAACTGTTAAAGTTTCAATATTCAAGATTTTGCAGAGAAAGGGAAGACCTCCCAACCTTCGTATTACATAATGTATTGGCCAAAAAAAATAAAATTATTTTGACTATTCGATTACTTTCCCTTTATTTAAGCCATTCCGAATATTATTCCTTAGAAAGCTAATCTGTGTTAAAACACAACCATTTTTGGAAGTTTACTATACTTCAGCAGTTACTGCAACTATGTTATTATAAATATGCTCATATAAGCATAACGATCTTAATAAACACTAATATGAACTGACCAAGCAGAACGAGAATGCAAATTTTTAAGATCTTGATAAAAATTCAAATGTGTGTAGTATTTGGGTGGGAGTAAAAGAATGCCGAATGTAGCGGAATTTTTCTACTGCTTTCGCAATTCTTTGACCAATAGAACGACGGGCACCTGTCTGTACTCTTCGTGCACACCAAAGGTTATGTTAATACAGAGAAAGGGGGAAAAGCTATTTCCGGGAGTATGACTCACCATCTGACATTCCATATTAGGAAAAAAAGTTGTTTATTAAGTTTCGGCTTTGGTACGGGGAAAAATCGTGCGTTCATTAAAAAAAAAGCACTAAAAGCAAAAAAATAAGCACTAAAAACAAAAAAATAAGGGCTTTAAAGAAAAAGTAAGCACCTATAAGGGCCTTTATATTTTATTTTCAAATATAAGGACTTATAAGCACGAACCCTGATCAGTGAACTCACAAATTTTTTTATCATTCCCTAACAAAATATGTTAGGAAACCAGGGCAGCAGGAAATTATGCTCTTGCTAGGCTCCAAAGAAGTTTGTCAAGAAACACAAAATTAAGAGTGAAGTCTAAATGGACACGGAGTGGCAGAATTGTTTTTTAATTACAATTTTCATGAAATTTTAGGATACTCGAAACACCATTTTAAACTGGCAGAATTTACCTCCCTTAAAATTTAAATAAGTTACACATAATGGCAGAATTTACCTCCCTTAAAATTTAAATAAGTTACACATAATCTGGATTCTGAAAAATTCTATGAATTTTCATATACTTTGTATCTGTGAAATAAAGCAGATGATAAACTCTACTCCTCATACAAGCAATGTAACAAAATTGTAAACATAAAAAAATGAATTTTGTTAACAGAGTAAGTAGCAATAGCAAATAACTTAAATACTTACAAGCTTGGCTCCTTTTTTCCTTCCTAAAGGCAGGGCATAATGGGCTTCATACCACTGACGGAAAGGTGTAGCATCAATCAGAACAATTCCATTCTTTACCAATGTTTTTGTACGCACTAATTCATTGTTGCTGGCATTGTATACTGTGTCAACAATACGCGTTCTGCGAGTACATTCTAAAAGTGAAAAAATTGCTATGCAAAAACAAGTACTTAAAAATCAAATATCACTACTATGTACACAGAAATATAATGCATTTATTTACTTATTTTTGTCAACAAAAAAAAAAAAAAAAGCATTCAGATAGTTGCTTCAAACACTGGATTGTTGCATTTGAAATGGCTCAAAAGGTCAATGGCTTCTTCACGAAACTAAAAAGAGAAACACTAGTCAAAATAGGACCCTCAGCATCCAAGTATCTTTGCAAACATTATGGGAAACTTAAATAAGCCCGTGGCCATGATCTCAATAGTTCGTCGAGTGTCTCCAGTGATGCTGGAAGTTCCATCTAAAAAAACAGTTACCAGTGAAAAAGATAATTTGTTAGGGGCAGACCTGGTAAATATAGTATGTGGAGAAGAGTTTTGCAACCCAATTTATAAAACATTCACTAAGATTTTTTTGGTTATGCATGAGGACAAATGCTGTCAAGCAACACACTTGTTAACAAAAAGCTCGCGGCTTTAAACGAAACTGATTTGTTTCTTGCAGTTATGCTTAATAAAAATCTAAATCTTGTGCTTTTATTTTACCAGAGAAAAATAATACAAACGATGCTAGCAATACATTAACACATAGTAGCACCTTTCACAGATCTAGAGATGACTTTGGGAAGGTCCCAGGCACTTCTTTTCATTCGAGAACTGAGGGATCTGTGATGAATCATGTGCCAAATCCACTTTTCAATACTCATAACAATACATAGTTGCTAAATTTGAAGATGAAAAGGTAAACAGTTTTTTGACTGAGTAATCGTACCATTTCAAAAGAACTATAAAAAACTGGTTTAAATTTCCTTTATAGCATACAATTCTGATGTAAAATCTTTTAATATTCAATTAGATACTCAAAATTTTATGTTCTTAAGTTAATTTCATTTTGTAACTTTCTTATACTTTTAAAATGAGAAAAATCTAAATAGAAATAAAAAAATAATATTATGACTGAATCCTAAACAACTTGAAAATTAATCATAAATAAATTATTACATCATTTGTACATTATTACAACTAATATAATGTAAAAAATTTTTGTCATCTCAGAGTACATAAGGAGAAGTCTAGTTCTGCCAACTATTGGCAAGGTACCCTCAGTAGGAGCGCCAGTATATATAATATACCAGTATTAAAAACGTATACATAATCTTTTAACTATCAGTTTTGATTGAAATGCACTAAATAGTAAATATAAAAGGTTCAGCACCTGTACATCATATATCTGAATACTAAATTTTTTCCTACCTGCAAATGGAATTTATGAATATTCAGACATGATACCTTTGAAAGAAGTATATTAATTTCATAACTGCCAAACATCCGGACCTCAAAACCACAAACTTATGAAAGCGCATAATACGTTTACGCATGCACGTTTGATGCACGCGTCCGCTACGAATGTACGTAAATCCAGTAATGTGTTTACCCATGCGCGCTTCTGATAGTGAAGAAAGTGACAGAGAGGTTGAAAACAAAAAAATTTTGATTGACAAGTTAGTCGGTATTCTCGACACAGCAATTACAGGACTTAAACAGTGGAACTTTGTAACTGAACAAGAAATTAAGTCTAATCATTATTTCCTATCTTGTTCATTTGCGGTTTTGCAGCTGAAGATGATGGTTCGGTAAAACCATCGAAACTAGTCATGTGAAATTTTGTAAATGTAACGCTGATTTTTGTTGTTTGACTTCTGAATTAATATTTATTCGGCATGTTATTGTGTCTTAATCATATCTTGACTTTTTACTGTTCCCCAATTTTATTCAACTCAAATCTGATCAAAAACCTTAGAGTCGCATTTCAAGAATTCTGTTAAATTGCAAATATACCTTATTTCGGTCCATCATAAGGGATACACGTCAACAATTGTCCAAAATCGAACACGAACTCTATAAGCTTCATCTGGAACTCGCTTAATCATATCCAAAATTGACTGCCCTTGAACAAAAGTCTTTGTCTAGAACGGAGAATGCAGTTAACCGTCATAAAAATAGCCTTGCAGTTAAATTCGAAAAACTTCTTTTACAGTCTTCCAGTTCAAGTAGTTCAAAAAATCTTCCCATTGTAAACATCAAGCCAATAGTTAATATTTCTAATGTTAGTCTTTCAGAAGAACAAGAGAGAATTCTAAAATATAATTTTAACTTCTTACAAACCTGTGAACCTCGATTCCAAAGATTTTGGCTCCTATCAAAAAAGCTTTAAAGTTCAGTAAAGTTTCAGATTCACAGAAAGAAATGATTAGGCATCTTATCGCTCATAATGTGAAATTCAATAATAAATCTTTGAAACCAAATCTAACTGCGAGAGAAAGAGCTACAATACACGAAATTCATTCTAACCCGGATATTATCATTTCAAAGGCCGACAAAGGTGGCCAGATAGTCGTCATGGAAGCGAAGCAACTTAAAACAACTTACATTGAAAGATATGTTTAATAAAGTAAACAAATAAATATTAAGCTTTTTTTTTGTAAATTCTGATACCCTTTAAATCATAATTGATCTTTATTTCATAAATTACAGTTTCATATTTTTAATTGTATAATTTCTGCCAGATTTAATTTACCAGATATAAATTGATAATCCATAATCTGGAAAAACCCCCAATTCATAATGGCCGAAGTCCCGGAGTCCGGATTTTGTCCTGTCTTGAGCATTCATACAGTAGTGCTGTCATTTAGAATCAAAAGAAAACAGTAGAAACTTATGATTACAGCATTCGGTGTAGAAAAATTAGCATTTTTTGGGAGGTTAAAACATCCGAGGGTTAACTCAAAACTACCTATTAATCAAAATAAACCCTCACAAACTTACCAATTGTATAAGATCATCACTGAAGTGTCAATAATTACTTGTCTACAGTTCATGTTTCCAACAGTGTTTGAAATTAACAATTTTAAATGCATCAACTCAATAAGTATCAAAGAAAAATACGTAATAAAAACATGAAATGTTTAAATGAATTACACCTGATGGCAGTATATATCAGATTAAAATTTAGACATTTTTATTTTGTTTTAAACAAAAATTAATCTCTGTCTGTGTAAATTCAAAGTGTTTCAGCAAATCAGTTGCAGACTTTCAAGAAAGGACACTTAGATGATGGGAAAGACAGCAATGAATGGTCGGAAACGCCTTCCTGGCATGGTAAAGACGACACAAAACACAAGAAATGCTGGACACAAAAAACAGGGTTAAAAAATATTTTAACTCAGTGAAGCTAAAATTTTGAGAATTTTTTTTAATACATTAACAGCCTTTATGTGCGAAACACAAGAAAGGTAGGCCACAAATAGGGTTCAGGCATGAAAGTTTTCCGCGTTTTTGAACGTCGCCTGGGCTGTTTCTGAGATCGGTGTAGAACCGTTGAGAAATCGTGACCGGCTAATGTTTTTTTTTTGGGGGGGGGCTGGTAAACGGAGGACATGCTTTTCCCTAAAACTTTTAAATCAGGATCGAGTGAGACAGACAAAATAGTTATTTTTTAAGTTCCTTTAACTATATGTTATGTTATTTTGTAACTATATTATCTCACATGACTACTTTTTCTGGTGTTATATAAAGTACTGTTTATTGAACTAAAAGTGAAGATAATTGAAAGCTATAGTAACAGTTACATATATATATATACATTATCTCTAAAACTAGTCATTGCCTGGAAATGGGCTCTAACATAAATATGTATATTAGTGTGTTGTAATGTTGTGTACAGTATTCATGTATCAACTGTTAAATTAAGTTACATAAAGAGCATCTTAAAGAAGGTTAATTCATTACGATCTCCTGGTGATTTACCGGTTTTTTTTACAAGTGGAAGATAAAATTAATAGCAAAATAGTAAGTACAAGTATTATTTTAGTTTAATTATATGTATATGTTTAATACTTTTCATATTAAAAGGTTGATATTTTATTAAAATGTGTTTTCTTGAGGTCACGCGTGTGCATTTAGTTTTTGTGTCCGCGCATTGTTCAGCTTTGTTTTTTGCTAACTTGCACTTTCATGCCTGTAATAATGTTCTTTATGCTTAGTGCAGCAGAAACTAAAGAGATGGTCAGCATCAAAGGTTTAAATATTATGACCCTGACCTTGATGCAGAAATCTGGCATACCTTTCATGTGATGATGTCAATGTCCAGAATGGTAATTTTTAACACCTTCTTTAATGATGATAGTCGTCTGTTTTTGTGCTTATTTGTTGGTTTCTTCTGTACTAAACATAATAAAACATGTTTTGTCACATTGTGTCCTTCCTTTTTAGTGTTGTCACTACCACGCCAAGGTGTTTCTGACAATGCATTGCTATGCGATTTTCTAGTCTAGGTATACTCAGTGGCGTAGCTAGAACTCTTGGGCCCCTGTGCAAAAATTTTCATGCCCCCCAATAAATGTACTGTGCTTAACCTTCACTAAACATATTTGGCTATGCATCTTGAGCTTGGCGACTAACCACAAATTGTTCTGTTAAATATATTGCTTTTATTGTGCACCGAGACAATTAAGCCTGAATTGTATTAGTTATTTACTATACTTATGTCTATTTCTTGCACATTGCTTAATGCTTATTAGAGTTCTGAATAAAATTCCTACATATACTTAAGCCTTATTGAGGGACTAGATATTTTACCACCTGATACAGTCTGTGTGGATCCTAAATTCTGCGATCTGTAATCATCGCCAAGCGTAATGTCAACATAAAAGGTTACCATACCAATTACTAAAAAAAAAAAAAAAAAACTGTTTAGGCATCGTTACATAAGTCATTACTCAAGTCGTCATATTTTGATAAGCATGCAGTGATGAAAAGAAAGTATAATAATTCATTTGTCAGGTTGACATCAGATCAATGATGTACCCAGGCATGAAAGTGCAAGTTGGCAAAAAAAGCTTAACACGCGGACACAAAAACTAAATGCGCACACGCAACCTTAAAAAAACACATTTTGATAAAATACCAAC